TCAGCTTCCTCTGCAGACCACATCTATTGTAGGTGAGAGAAGTGATTGCAATCTTTCATTTGGTTGTGGGTCAAGTCCTGCAGCTTTTAATTATGTTGAACTCATACTGGGATCAGTGGAACTTTTGTCTCAGCAAAAGAAAATGTTATTTATCACATTATTACCATTAGCTGCAGTTCTGCGCGCACAACCAGAAGGGGTTACTTCTTCAAGTTTGGTGAATCTTGAGGGCCTGTTGTTAATGCTAATTTGAAAATGGCACTGGCACATTGTGGTCAGGAAATCTGGTATCATGGGGTTAACTTTCAGCCCTTATACCGAACGCAAATCAGTGAGGAAATTCATTGCTAGGTGCAGTCTCTAATTATTTAAAAGATAATTTGCATGCTACACAGAAATAAATTAGCTCCCAGGTGACAGCTGTTCCACTGTGTCCATTCCTGGAACTAGAGGCCATGCTGGGAAATCTAAATGCAGAGCAAAAGATTAAAACATTCTACTTTCTTGCCCTATAGGAAGGCCCTCCCCAAAACAGAGGCATAAAGAAGGGAGGAGGGGAATGAATGTTTCAAACCTGCAAGCTTAGAAGCTTAACTAACAAACCACAGCATTTTCACAGTCTGCCTTTTCTTTTCACTGAGAGCATTTCGCATCTTTCTAGAAGATCCTGAAAGTGAATGCAAGTGTAATGTGTACTAGTTTAAAAGGATTTTTTTATAGCCAAAGAGAGAAATTCAGTCCTAACATCAGGTTTGCATTCACACGTTCATGTGAGATCATTATAGACCACATGAACACCACCCAAAACAGTTATTCTTCTTTTTATCTCATACATAGAAATCAACAAATGCATTTTCATATTCCTTGCCAAAAGAAGATCAGACACTACTTTTTATCTACCTAAAAGCCTCAAAACAATCTTCATGTCACAAGAGATGCTAAAACATTTTTCAATTTAATGGTTTTCTAATAGATAGCCTTCTCAAGACTAGGTTTTAACACTGTGTATTGTACATACATAGATGTACACTGTATAAAACATCATTGTATTATGTGGATGTATATGTTTTTCAGATATGATATGATATGATATGATATATTAATGGGCTACATTATATTGCTAGCCTTTTGACATTGCTCTGCCTCCTCCTGAAAGAAGCAAATCTCCTGTGTCAGTTTGCTTTGTGCTGGGACTGTTATGCGGAGATTACAGGCAGTTTGCTTCCTCCTCTCACTGTCTCTTCCTTCTCTCACTCCTTTCACTCTGCCCTGGCTGACTGCTAAGAGTTGCTCTTCTGCCTCCCTGTTAAACCAGCTAGAGAATCTATTCTCCTTGTAGTGCAGACCTTTGTAAAAGAAATAGCACAACTGATATGAATGGAAATGTATGTGTGCGTGTGTGTGTGTGTGTGAAAACACCGGAAGAAACAAGCAAGCAAGGATTAAAGAACAGCATATGTTAATCGCTGCAGAGCAACATATGTGATTTCATTCAAATGACCAAATAGCAAGAAGAGAAGGAACAAACCTATCTAAAGAGGATGAAAAACAGGCCTGGAGGCAATAAAATAACCAGATAAGAAAAACCTGGCAACTGTAATTCAGGAATTTTGCCATGGGCTAATGAGAGGTGAGATAAAATAATGAGGCAAAAGATCCCAAACAACATCCACATGTAAAGGCTGTAAAAGACAAGTCCAAAATTAGTTCATCGTCACTAATTAAGAAGAGCTCAGGAGATGTGATGAGGAGCCGGTAAGTGGTGTCCCTCTGTGTGGCACACCAGTGATCCTGGCCAGACCACCCGGAATTGCAGGTTGTGGTGCCTGCGAGTGTGTGGATGCGAGAGGACCCTGACCTCGCACCCCTTCAGATCCTGGTAAGCAAAGCGCAGTTAAGACACGAGCAGTCTTGCAGGAGCTGATGACTTCCCAGTGAGTGTATGTGCTGCCACCAGATAAAGCTACACTTCTCACTCCTACGATGCTGACCAGCCTGACTCATCCCATTAACAGATCATCACTGGGATCTTCATCTCCCCTGAGATTTTAAAATCTCTGTGGATGTTTAGAACTCGATCTTACTTGTAATCCCCCGATCAGCCTGTGCACTGTGTGGGGATCCTATCACAACCCTGAGAACAAGGCAGAATAATGCATTCTTAATTTCTTTCATGAAGAAATTAGCTTTCTGAACAGACAGCTTTTGTCTCATCTCTTCAAAATCTGTGTGTGTAGCTCTCAAGAGTGCAGGTAAGTGCAGCTGCACTGAGGTCCTTGGGCTGGGTTACCTGCCCAACACACAGCGACAGAGTGAAAGAAACAAATGCTGGCTTTGTCAAGGTCAGGAAAATGCTGCTACCTGTGTTGCAGGCAGAAATCCAAAGGCAAGATGATTTATTGTTCCAGGTGTTGATACTGGTGTGAAACTTGCTAGTACATATAACAACTGACACTGCAACCACATCTGGGCAAAAAAACAAAGGTGAAGGTGTCTGGCAACATTTGTGGTTCACAGAAAAGATTAGGTTACAGTTGTGTTTGCATATTGTAACACCATCAAAAAGACTGATGATACCTTGCCACAACCTGGATATTGAGTTTCTTACAGTGCTCAAAATGTATTAGCTGATCAGCATCAGCTGTGACATGGAAAGAAAATTATCTGCCATCTTAGTCTGTATCTCATACAATTATGTCATCCTCCTTCAGTTTCTACTTAACACCTATTGACAATATACTGTTTATGTGAACCTTACATTTGCTGTGTGCCATTCCTCTCCTGTAAAACAGACCCAACATTTTCTATAAATCAAAATCAATCCCCATTGCAGCAATAATTCACAAGTTTCACACTCCTCTCAGCAGAGGCATAGAAAGGTCTCCTGAAGTGAAATTTGTAAAGAAGCATTTTTGTCCAAGAAACTTTTAAACCTCACAGTTGAAGTTTGGGTTCATCCTGTCTTTTAGTACAAGACAAGAAGAAAAAAATGAGGAGCTAGACTCTATAATATTT